GGAGTCAAAAGGGACAAATTTCCATCTATAAAATAAATAAGTCATGGGATGTATTGTACAATATGGCAACTATAGTTAATAACACTGTATTGTAGATTTGAAAGTTGCTAAGAAAGTAAATCTTAAAAGTTTTCATCACAAGAAAAAGAATCTGTAACTGAGTAGTGATGTTAATTAGACTTATTGTGATCATTTCAACATACATACAAATATTGAATCATGTTGTACACTTGAAACTAATATAATGTCAATTATACTTCAATTTTTAAAAAGGACCAGCACTTACCAAGTCCTTTTCTACATATTAACCAACCCTCATACCACACCTTCCTTAAGTTTGTCATTATTTCTTGTCCCATCCAAACTCAAGTGGGGTAACTTCAGGCTGTAAGTTTCCTGTGGTTTTCTTATTTGTCACTGGAACACAGTACTTCATAAATACAATTTAAACTAATGAATACCTGAATGGGTAATGGAAAGTGCCCTGCCCCTAGGAGTGCCCCTTCAGAGATTTCCGGACAGGGAAAAAAAAAAAAAGCTGGTAATAACTGCTTCACTTTTTCTTGTGGACCCAGAATTGTAACTGGAGGAAGTGAAGATTAATCTTGGAGCAGGGGGCTATAGGCAGACTTCTAAGTGTAGTATCGTCTCCACAGGCCCTAGACAACAGGTGGGCACTAGGTGCGTAGGAAAAATCATCTGAAGCCCCTATCACGAAGAAGAGCATGCTTACATTTCCTATCCAGATTCTGCTCATAGCTGTGGTGTTTGGAGCTTGGAGAAATATGAAAAGTCAGTTATTGGACGAGGATCTAGGATCCCCAGGCTTGTTCCTTATAAAAACGCCGCGGAGGCCTAGCTCTGAGACCCGGGAGGTTTTCTCTGGAAACTTGTGGGCCCCACCCACTCCTCCGTGACTTCCCGAGACCCGGCTCTGCCAGCGGAAGGAGGGCGGGGGGCGTGGACTTGGTCAGCGTGGAACCCAAAGTGGACAGCCTGGGAACCCAGGGAGCGGCCCTGCCCGAATGCAGCAGAAAGAGCAAGAGCCGGGCGAGCCTGGCCAACGGGTCATTCCGCGGGGAAAGGAGAACAGGAAACGGGAACCGGACGCCGACAGGAGGGGCGGGGCCTGCTCTCGCGGGAAGGAGCGCCCGCGGCAGCGCCGGCCTAAGGGCGTGGCCTAGGCGTAGCCCCAGAGCGTGACCGAAAAGGTGGGACTAGGAGCGTGAAGGGCGTGGCCGTTTGTAAGGTCTCGACGAAGGTGGTGGAGAATGCGGGAGGGATAAACTCAGGCGGAGGAATTACTATAGTTAGAAGCAGGGACGTGGGCACAAGTGAGAGACGGAGCCAGCAGAATGAGTGTGAACACCAATAGAGGCGGGGCCACGGAGAAGTGTACGGAACACAAATAACGTAACAGGAAGGAGAGGGGTGTTTGTGGGCGGAGCGCAAGGACGTACCCCAAACATGAGGGCGCGCCCCATCCGTGGGGCGTAGCTTTGTTGCTCTCGGAGGCGTCACAAAGACGGTCCAGCGGAAAGGAGGGCTGGACCCAGGCGGAGGGCAGGGGCGGGGCGACGGCGGCACGGGCCCGGAGCGACCAAAGCGGAGGTGCCAGTTGGGAGCGTAACCAGGGCGGAGCTTAATGGATTTTTGCGCCGACGGGGGCGTAACGTAAATAGGCGAATGACGTGACCGGCGTGAGGGGCGTAGCGAGGCGTAAGGGGGCGTAGCCAAGATGGCCGCGCGTATGAACGCATCTTCCCAGTAGCGAGTGCAGGGGTTTGCGCTTAGAGAAACGTTCCGGTAAGGTTCCGCGGAGATGTGGAGCGTGGGCAGCAAGGGGACTAGAAAGGACAGGTACCCTCCCACGTGCACGACCACGCTCTGCGATGAGTCCCGGAGCCGGGACAGCTGTTGACCTCAGGATAGTCACAGTGCCGGCGGGACTCCTCTGAAGAATGGCGGGGAGGGGGCAGGGAATCGCTCCTTCCTTACTCTAATCTTGTTTCTCCACTTTGAGTGTCATTGGACAGTTACACCCTCTTGGAGTTCTGTCCCTTTAGAAGTAGAACAACTGTCCCAAAGAATTTGGGAGCCGAGGGAGTTGCAGTTCCAGAAACCGAGGCGCCTCAAGCTGGGACTTACTCAGACCTGAAATGTTTATACCCCTGACTATGCCGGAGGCTGCG